TCTCTCTCTCTCTCTCTCCCTTTTCATCCATCAGTCATTCAATTCTTTTCCAATATTTTAGCCTCAATTGACTCCATAAGAGGAATACATGTTACACTATACACTCCATACACTATACCAAATACATTATATTAATTGAGTATTAAATATACGCCAAAAGTGGCCCCAAATCAGGTATTACTTAATTTAATGAAAGAATACACTTTTCAAAATGAACTAGTACAGAGTATACAGTGTATTATAAGTAGTGTGTATTGTATGGTATTATTTTTTGTCATACATTTCATTATTGATTTGTTGTCTTCCAATCAAAATCGATTGTTTAGTATTATTTTTTTAAGTAAAAAACTCTTAACCCGCTCTTCCTCTCCACCCCTCCTTCTCTCCCTCTGATGTCAGACCTCTTTTCCCAATCAATTGTGATTATGTTTGGACTCAAAAATTTGTATATAAGGCAGCGGTGTTTCACTAGTCTAGTCATCATATCTTCTGATCATTTTATCATTGCTATCATTGAATTCAAATAATTCATGTGTAGCTTTGTTTAGAGTATTCATAATTTAAAGCTTATTTTATTTATTATTTAATTTAACATTAGTTTCACTTTTCTACTCTCAATAAATCAAACTTTTTCAAATATGTATAAAGTGAGTACAACTGGTTTAACAAACACTTTATAGACTTAAATATAAATATTTGTACTAAATTATGTGTAAAAACAATGTAAAAGTTAACACATTATTAAATTTTGATTTATTTGTCAGATATTTGTTGTCACATCTCTGGTCGCTATTTGCCACGCAAGCGGTGGTGGAGGATATGGTGGCGGCGGTGGAAATGCCGGTACATTTAGTAGTGGAGGCGGTGGTGGTTATGGCGGTGGAAACGGTGGCAGTAGTGGCGGTCTCAGCAGTGGTGGCGGTCTAAGCAGTGGAGGTGGTTATGGCGGCAGCAGTGGTGGTGGCGGCGGATTCGGTAGCAAATCTGGAGGCGGCGGTGGATATGGCGGACAAGTGTCTGCATTTGGAGGACAGAGCAGTGGTTTCGGTGGTTTTGGTGGCGGACAGGGAGGCGGTCAGGGAGGCGGACAGGGAGGTGGATATGGCGGCGGTCAACGACAGGAAACAGGCTATGGAGGCGGTCAACGTCAAGAAGGAGGCGGTCATGAGGGCGGAGGTGTCATTCAGGCGGCTGTTCAGACCAAACACACAATTGAGATCAGACCCGTGAATATACCACAAGAAGACATTCAGCCGCAGATCATTGAAGTGGACGCCGGAGACCTTCCCCTTCAGATCCACTTCAAGAGCGCGTCGTCCAGAATAAAGGTTCTGCAGTCGCATACGGGAGGCGGCGGTGGAGAAGTGGAACAAACCTCATCAGAGGACGAACCCCACCGTTTGGTCCATGAGGTGACCAAACCCATCATCCAAGAGGTCCGGGAGATCATCACTCCTTACCGACGAGTCATCCAAGAAATCAGACCAGTTGTTGAGGAGATCCACACCGTTGTGGCCAAAGGCGAGGGTAGAAAACAGCGCGAAGAACAGCAACAGACCGGCGGTTATGGCGCCGGACAACAGAGAAGCACTGGAGGACAGGGAGGACAAGGAGGACAGGGTTACAGCACTGGTAGCTCTGGCGGATCGTTCAGTTCGGGAGGCAAGTCGTCCGGTGGCTCCTCTGGTGGCTATGGAGGCGCTTCAACCGGAGGTAGATCTCAAGGCGGATACGGCGGCTCTTCAGGCAGTTTTAGTCAGGGATCTGCTGGCAAATCATCGGGAGGTCTGTCCTTTGGTGGCGGCGCCGGTGGTAACAAAGGTTACGCCAGTTCTGCATAAAAACGCATTCAAATCAATGAATGATTGGCCAAAAAACACTCAATACTTCTCTTTTTAGGCATTTTTGTAATTATAAACCATTTGTTGGAAACTTTTGTTTCAGTTTTATATTACTATTCACTGTTTCTATGAATGATTTGTTGAGACATATATTTAATACACGTTTTCTATTGTTCTTTAAAATAATCTATTTATTAGATATTTTCTCAATCAAAACATTTAATTTTGTATTAATTCACTTCAAACTTATGTACAGTTTTTGTTTTTATTGTCATATTTTATTGCATATAAATAATAATATTTCGCATTTGAATTGAAAACCCAAAAAACTGATTTAATTATTTTTGAACATTAGGTATAATAAGCAGGGTTTTGCAAGGACCTGTGGGTCACAAGGTAGACTTTGCTTTATGCTCCCATAGGAATACATTATAACTATGCCCGCGAATTCCCGAATTTGCCCTCTCTGCTAAACGTTGGTTATAACAAAATCAACTTGATTAGAAATCTAAACACCACTTACTGTTGATTTCATTATTTATTTGTTAATTAATCTTTTTATAATTATTGGCATATAATTAATATTTATAGTTAATAATGACTACTAATCAATATTAGTTAACATTTATAAAGTCTTACAAATTATTACAAAAAACTATTGAAAATGATTTTGTGAAAGATTAGATACGTATTACATATTGGATAAATATAGATAACTTATGAGAAAAACATCAATACAATTGGAATCTGTCTAAACAAGTATTAAAATTTCCGGCAATATAATTTTTATGCGTAAACAATTTGTTTATAGTATACAAAGTAATTTATAAAATAATTAATTCACAGATTTTTATATTTTAATTTTTAATATTTTAACATGTTTTAACAATGTAAACATCTCTCTCTCTCTCTCTCTCTCTCTCTCTAATAAATATAAAATTATGGATACACTATTTATAAATTGCAAATTCATGAAAATAAGCAAAATTAATAATAAAATGTTATATTTGTTGTCAATTATTAAATTAATAAATTATTGTATGAGTACTACAATTAAAAGACGCATTGAATTGTAAGTATACTTTACATTATATTTTTATTAAATTTAATTTATATATTTCTCTTTGATTTTATTATTATATATAATTATAATTATAAAACTCACAAAAAGTTAAGGTTTTATAAAATGAAATATATTTAGTAAATAATATATAATAAATGAAAAATTACTTATAAATATTTATTAATTAAGAATCACTCAATGTTTGTATTAATTGTATATTTATTAGTGCTTTTATAATGAATTTAGACAAATATTTATATTATAATTTATAAATGATCACAAGCATTAATAATGAAACCATTGATAACACATGATTATTACAAAATTTTTATCAAGATTTAACCAAGAGCTTAAAAAGGCACGAAAAACACCACTTTTACTCAAAATAAAGATATAAAAACTATTAAGATATAAAAATTTTAATTAATGATTGATATTAAATGCGCACAGAATTCCAATATATTTTAATAAGTTATAAAAGAAATATATTTATTATAAGTGACAATTTAAAAAATTTAATTTTATAATTTGTTATGAAATTGTTTACAAAAATAAGAATAATATTTAAATATTATTATAATTTATTAATAGATTTATACAGAATTCGAGTGTTTGCTAATAAAGAATGAGTGGTTTATGTGAGAGTGAAAAGCATGGTATGGAAGGCCACGACTGTGTCAGTCAACCACTGGCCGCTCAATCACTGGCCGCTCAACTATTCAATGGAGACCCCAATGAAGATAAACCTTTGATGAATAAATCGCCTTCTCCTATGTCTAAGGCCATTACTATTATGTTTTTGTGTCTCAGTATGTTTAGTGTTGGCGCCGGCTATTCATTACTCGCGCCTTTCTTCCCCACCAAAGTATGTGCAGTAAATACAATGATTAACTCATTCACTGATTTATTACAATTTTAATATTACTATTAAAGGCTAAATCAAAAGGCATATCAGAATTATGGATTGGTCTGATTGTGGCTCAATATCAAATCGCAGTTATATTTGGTTCAGTTATTTTTGGGAAACTAGCCGTAAATATTAGTTAATAATAATTATTTATATTAAATTAAATAATTGATTTTAAGGGAACAAAATTTAGTCCAAAAACTGGGCTATCTTTGGGTTTGTTTGTTGCGGGTATAGGAAGTTCCTTAATGAGGTAGGTTGCTTTATTTTGATAGTTGTACATATACATAATATTACATGTATGTATGCATATAGCATAGTAGAATGGTCACCACCAGGCACATTTAGTACTGTATTGGGTATGATATTTAAAACGATTGAAGGATTGGGAGGGGCCGCTGTTTTTACAAATGTTTGGACCATTATTTTTCGCGATTTCCCTCATAAGATGTCCAAGTTATTTGTATGTTACTATTAGCAATTATTTGAACAAATATATAAACATTTTAATTATTGTCTAATGAAGGCGACAACAGAAATGTGTTATGGTTTAGGCATGATTGTTGGACCTGCTTTGGGTGGCATATTATATCAAGTAATAACATTAATAAATTCAATGGAAACTCATACATGTATTGTTTATTCAATTAATTAGTTATCTCTATGTTTATAGATTGGCGACGACTATCTAAACATAGGTTTTTGTGTTCCCTTTTGGTCTTTCGGGACATTTCTGGCGTTTATATCGCTCTTAAGTCAGATTCTTGTACCAAAACGAAGTAAATTTAATTCAAACTAATGTTATATTTATTTGTTTTGATTTATACTTTATAAATGTTATACAAATGTTAGTTATTATAGTTTTAAATTTTGTCACAAATAATCAAATTTCTACTAATATAAAATAATTACTGAACAATCATTATAAATGAATTGAATTGAATAGACAATACAGTGATTTGGGAATTTACTAAAGTATCAATTTAATTTAAACTAGTTTATTTTCATTAACTATTTATCAGTAATAGTTTATGTTTTAATAATTTCCAAATTAGTAGTAAGCAATTTAGACAATAACAAAACATTTTAGAATTATTATTTATAAATATTTTATATATTGTTTAAATAATTGAATTATAAATATAATTTAAGGTATGGAACAGAACTGTGTAAAAACAATCGGCATTTTTAATTTACTGAAAAACTTTGGCTTCACATTATGTCTGGCCAATACTATTAATGCCGCACTTCTTATAGGCTTTAATGAGGCAACACTTGACTTACATTTGGCTCAGGTATTTAATGAAAACATATCCAGTATTTATAAAGTTAATAATTTTAATTGCTCAATAGATCGAAACGCTATTGCCGTCTACGAAAGGTCTAATATTTCTATTAAGTGGCTTTACGTACACTATTGTGAGTCAAGTTTGTGGGTATTTGGGCGACAAAATCAAGAATTGTTACCCAATGTGTCTGTTTGGATGCGGGGCATCCATAGTGTGCTTCACATTTATCGGTCCCCTTCCCTTCATTCCTATAGAACCGTAATTATAACTCAAAATATATTTTATAATATAAAAATATTATACATTTTAATTGATTTTAAATGAACGTGACTAATGTGCTAAATTGTATAGTAATTTAACAATGGTTATTATTGGTCAAATATTTCTTGGTATTGGAATGGGTGGAAGTTTTATCGGCAGTTTCATACAGGGCTACCGAGAGATAATGTAAATTACATGATTTAAATGCCATCATTGAAACTAATATTTCTTTTATAGTATCGCAGGATTTCCTGAAAATATGTCTACTTATGCAGTAATGGCGGGCGTTTTTTCTTCGTCTTATGCTATCGGGTATTTGTGATCACAATAATAACTAATATGATATAACAATACTATAGTTTTACATATAAGTAATATTTATTATTAAAATATAATTTAGATCAGCAATAGGTCCTGGAATTGGAGGTTATATGTTGGGAGAATTTGGATATCGATGGTCTACTGTTCCTCTACTTATAATACAAATATTAATGGTAATTATTTTATATTTATTATAATGTATTTTATAAGTCTTTAATTTATGTATTTTTATTTTTTAGATATTAGTAATAATTTTATACAAAATAGTAAAGCGATACAGAAATTATCAAGAATTGTAGACATTATTTATTATCTTTATTTTAAAATCCTTCACAAATGATAAATGTAAAATGGTTTATCATTTGAGACTACAATAGTTCGCATACTCCTTTATGTACAGTGTGCTTCACATCTACTCCTTTATGGATAACGTGTGCTTTCAAATATCTAAATTATTCCAAAATGTGTGTAGTTATTAGAGTGACCAACTCAACATTTGTACAACCGGGACATTTCATAAAAATTATTGAAAATTCCGGGACATTGTAGTGCATGCTATAATTTTTCTCCAGGAACATTTTTTATAAAATCTAATTTTGCCCGATTCGCTCTATGGTATGTGTAAAAACCTCGGCCAAACCAAATGTGCTAAACCGGGACTTGTCGCGGAAATCTGGGTCGGTTGGTCACTCAAGTAGTTATAAAAATTATAAATATATATTTCAATTGTTTAAGACTAATGCCATATCAGTAATGTGTAAATAATTTTACTGTATTTGTTATTACGTTAGATATAAGACATATTTATACTTTTAGAATAATTATAATTAAATAAAACATTTTTAAAGAAAATATTATTATTTAAATATTTATTAAGTAAATATAAAGATTAAAGTGAAATTATGTAATATGAAATTAATAATAAAGATGAAACAATACTGATAAGTTTAAACTAAAAGTTATTTAAATGTGCAATACTTTATATATTTATTAATTTAGTTTTATTATTTTGTTAAGAATATTTATAATCGTTGTAATATACAAAGTTCAATTGTAATGTGTAAATTACTTAATAGTTATATTATTGATAATTACTATAGTTATGTTGAAAATGGCATATTAAGTCAATATACTATACAAGACTGTATAAAAGTTTTATAATAAAACACATTTTTTTGCGTATTGATATAAATACATTTTATATTACCGTAGTAATATTTTAACTTAAATATCATATGAGATATAATATACAATATTACTTTAATCTGTATATTTTTATCTGTATAAAGTATGAAATTATATGAAATTAATTGGAAGTAAATATTTAATTTTGTTTAATTATGGATTTTAACGAAGCATACAATAACAGCAAAGATATGAAAAACAAACTAAAATACAAAGTGTTGTCACACATTAAAGCAAGTATTTTAAAATGTATTAAATATGTGTTTTTATTTGACATAAATGGTTTGGATGTGTTTGTAATAACGAGTGAGGATAAGGTGTACGGAATGGGTGTCAACAAGTTTGGGACACTTGGATTCGGACATAAACGAGAGGTGAAAGAGCTTTCCTTAGTGAACGACTTGTGCAATAAAAATATTGTCAATTTTGTGTCCGGATATGACTTTATGGTCGGCCAAACACTTAATGGAGAAGTATATACATGGGGTAAAGGGCATAAGGGAAGGCTTGGCAATGGGTTGAACGAAAATCATGTTTTTACGCCCAAAATTATTGTCTCGTCAAGAGATGATCACAAAATAATAGATATTAAGTGTACCTTTTGTTCAACAAACATGTTAACGGAATCGGGAAATATCTATTGGTTTGGATATAAGGCCTTCAATAATACGGAACAGTTATCACCGGTGGCTGTACTCGTGGACGATAGCATAGGAAAGTTTGTCTCTATTGGTTGTGGTTTTGATCACTCGATAGCATTGACATCAACAGGAAAGGTGTACGGCTGGGGTCGCAATGATATGATGCAACTCGGTTTGGGTCACAGCAGACATACCGATAGTCCCACTCTTGTAGAGTTGACCCCAAATGTATTGATCCAAAGAATATCCATCGGATCCAACCATAACCTGCTGTTGACCAGTGAGGGATCAATCTATGCATTTGGTTACAATAATTGCGGTCAACTCGGAATCGGAAACCAAGAAAATCAAAATATACCACAACTTATTATTAAATCAAACAAATTTGTCAATATATTTGCAAACGACCAAAAGTCAATGGCATTGTCTGATAAGGGATTTGTGTATATTTGGGGGCAAACAAAACGTGGTAATGTACTGAGACCTGAAAGGACTGAATTCCAGTCATTTCAGGAAACAATCAATCAGTTTTGTAAACCAATATTCACTTATAAGGCGCTCTCATATGAAGACTTGTTTGAGAAAAATCATCGCATTTACAGAATAATTAGTTCTGCATTTAATAACGAAAAATACAGTGATTTGAAGATTAAAATTGATAATCAATTCATTTACGTTCATAAATGGTTTGTCTCCGAAAATTGCAAACATTTCGACACAATGTTCACAAATGAATGGCAAGAAAACGAAACAAATGTCATCGAAATCACTGGACATTCATACGAAGGCTATCATGAATTTTTGAAATACATTTACACCAATTTGTTTCACTCCAATCATATTGAGATTATGCTCGATGTGTTACATATAACTGATGAGTACATGGAGCCTGAAATTAAATTAAAATGTGTTCAATATGTCAAACCAATGATTAGTTTAGATAACGTTTGTGATATATATTGCGCGGCACTTAAGTATAGCTCCAATGAGTTGGAAGTGTATTGCTTTGAGTATATGGTGTTCAGAATGGATGACACCATTGAAACCGATGCCTATCTTCGAATGGATGCCAATTATGCAAAACATTTATTCACAGATTATATTAGATATTTAAGAGAGATTAACAGTCAAAAAGTTTCACTCAATTCATGAGAGAGAGAGAGAGAGAGAGAGAGAGAGAGAATCATACAGTTTATAGTATTACATTTATGATTACAACAGAGATTTACGAAGTTAATACTGTAGAATATTCTATACTTAAAAATGCATAATTTTTCACATAAGCTATAATTACGACAAAAATTCTAAACTATAAAATGGATTAACATTTTATGTTAAATATTATTTAAAATATAATACTGTATCTCTAATTCCAATTTCAATTAAATTTTAAAATACAGTTTATTCTTTTTGGTCGCAATTAATGTTCAAAATATATATACAGTAACAGTAAAGTAAAGAATTCAACGATTTTAATCACATTTCTTTTTTCATGCGCCCAAAGATGTCAGGTTTGCATCAATGATCACAACTTTCATTACATGTGATTCAATCAAACTTAATGATTTGGTAATGTGTTAATACTATGCTCAATATGTGGACATTTACTTATTACTTATAAGTTATAACTATTGTCTAATTATTTGTAATATACTTCTGAATGACAATTAATACATCAATTAGTAGCCGAAGGAAGGGAAGTGTTGGTCATGTGTTGAGTACAGTACAGTGTATAGCGTTATAGCAGTGAATGCAGTGAATGAATGCAATGAGCGCTGCATTCAGTGCAAGCAAGCAATAAATAGCTTTCCATCAATGCGTTCAAATAATACGTCCATAATTAGTGTCATTGAATTAGTACTAAAAACAGATGACAAGTTATTTGCCCCTAAAAATGAGTTTTGTTGGTTCAGTCAATGAACAAATTTACAATTTATCATAAAAAACGTAATATTAATTTAAATGTTTGTTTAATATATAGAATTAAGTTAAAATTAATAACAAGGTAATAAATATAACAATTATCATTTATTTATTTAACAATAATACATATTTTATGTATATTTTATATTCATAAATAAATAAAACATTTCATTAAAGTATATTTTAAAGTAAATATATATTTATACGTTAATTAAATTATATCCAGTGTTAAAAATATTAATATGGAGTCCATAATAGCAATCTAAATACAAAAATGCATTAGTTTTAAAATTATACTATTATAATATTATATTATTTAAAATTTGTCCAATGGTTTGGAAATAAAATGCGATTAGGAATATGGGTAAGGTTGGCAAAATATAAATAAATGGGATGTCATAATAAATATAAGAATGTTATTTTACACGTAGTATTAATTTGAATTTTACATTACATGTAATAATAGGAAATTGCATATGTTTTGTCGTTTAGAAAGGATAAAATTCAGGTATATTTTATTCTTATGATACTGAACTTAGATCAACGGTCTATTCACTGCAATAATCATATACTATCCCCCATTGTGTCATCAATTTTTCAATTTCCTAATTGAATATTAAACTCGATTTTAAGACCAAAATCTGAAGACACCCCCGATTTGATGACATCTGCCATTTTTAACATCATTTCTCTCACACACGTTAAAAATGATGGGTATCTGTGGTAATCAGTAGGGGGTATATCAGGGTTGAAGGCAGTGTGGGAATAAATTTTATACCCCTTGTTATTAAACTTTAATTGCGTTTTTATGTTTAAAATTACATTTTTTCGGGAATTTTTTGCATTAAAATAATGGAAAACACCGTCAATTTAATCGCTAGCCGTTCCTAAACATATCTAAGTTATTCTGAATAGTCTATTCCCTGCATCCCTACCCTATGAACATAACTTCAACCAACATGTTTGGCATCGGAGTCCGGAACCAGTTTTAACACTCCCGATAAGTAACCAAACATCGGGTGACCACCACGGCTACAATCAAGGGCGCGGCACATTTTTAGCTATAGTGGTCATTCATGTACACTAATACACTTTACAATATAAATGTGTTTAATTTTTATGGTAAGCAATCGCGCCAAATATGCTCTTTATAAATTTGTATAAAACAATGTCTAATATGTGTTGCCGTACGGGTGGCCAAAGATGGGTTGGACAGACATACATATGCAATTTGGACACACATAAATTAACAGTGATAATCAATGGATATTTTAGGTCAATAGTGGACACAATAATCGATTGTAAACAATAAAATAATCCACTTACAAAAAACGATATTTTGAACGACAGAACATATGCAATAACCTGATATTAGGTAAATTACTGTAATTAGTGAAATTCAGTGTTTAA